ACCGCCTTTTTGAAGAAGAGCTGGTATCTACTCAAGCAGGTTACCCTGGGGCCCAGAAAGGCCTCTGCTAGTTACATAATGCACATATATGCATGCCGGCATTCACCAAATGACAGTGTTAGAATGTTTGAAGCAGCCCTATTCGTAAGAGCCCCAAACTAGCAACCACCCTTATGCCCATCCATAGTTAATGGATGAATTGTAACATTGGCACACGTTCGAATGCTGTCCAGCAATGAGCAGGAGAGGTCGTCAACGACATAGGACAGGGTGGCTCCATCCCACAAACATGCTGAGCGAAAGAAGCCTGAGCCAGAATAAGAGCACAGGACTTGTTTTACTTAGATCTATTGCTGCATAACAGACTACCCCAAAACTTAGTGTCTTCAAGCACCAATTTGCTATTTTTCATGATGGCATGGGACAGCTGTGCAGTTTCTCTTCTGATTTCATCTGCGGCGGCGTTCAGCTGTGCGTTTGGCAGACTGCAAAGGTTCAAGGTGACCTTCATCACACACCTGGCGGTGCTCAGCTCTTCTACACGTGGCCCGGGTCACTCCCTGACATGCAGCAGCTTTCCAAGACAGTCCAAGTGAAGTCATAGTCCTGCTGAGGCCCCACCTACAAGTTCACAGCATTTGTTTCTCTGCATTTATTTATTTATTTTTAAGATTTTATTTGAGGGTGCCTGGGTGGCTCAGTTGGTTAAGCGACTGCCTTAGGCTCGGGTCATGATCCCGGAGTCCCTGGATCGAGTCCCACATCGGGCTCCCTGCTCGGCAGGGAGTCTGCTTCTCCCTCTGACCCTCCCCCCTCTCATGTGCTCTCTCTCATTCTCTCTCACACAAATAAATAAATAAAATCTTTAAAAAAAAAAAAAGATTTTATTTGAGAGAGCAAGCGTGAGTGGGGGGTGGGGAAGGGCAGAGGGAGAGAGAGAATCTCAAGCAGACTCCACGATGAGCATGGAGCTTGATCTCATGACCCTGAGATCAAGACCTGAGCTGAAATCAAGAGTCAGATGCTTAACTGACTGAGCCACCCAGGCACCTCTGTTCCTCTGCATTTATATTGGTCAAACTAAGTCAAAGTGCAGATTCAAGGGGTGGGAAAATAGGCCAGACCTAGTGATGAGAAATCACCTTGCAAAGGGCCACACATATAGGGAGGGGAGAAATTTATGGCCCTGTTTCCCATGTGCCACAGTACAGTATGATTCCATGTATGTAAAGCAGAAAAGCAGACAAAATCAATTTATGCTGTTATAGATTCCTTAGCAACTAGGCCTCTAGGGGAAGATGAGGGAGACCATCCAGGCTCTGGGATGTATTACACCTCCTCATCTAGGTTCTGGTTACTAGAGTGTGTTCAGCTTATGGAAAATCAGCAAGCTCTAAACTTAAGGCATCTGAAATTGTTTATGATTGCAATAGTTGAATGAAAAGTAAAAATATATACAGTGGCTTAAAAAGAATGACATTCAGGGGTGCGTGGTTGGCTCAGTTGGTTGGATGTCTGCCTTTGGCTCAGGTCATGATCGCAGGGTCCTGGGATTGAGCCTTGGTGGGGCTCCCTGCTCAGTGGGAAGTCTGCTTGTCCCTCTCCCTCTGCCCCTCCCCCTGCTTGTGCTCGAGCGCTCTCAAATAAATAAAATCTTTAATAAAAAAAAAAATGAAGTTCATTTCTCTTTCAGGTCACAGTCTAGCTGGTCAGCATTTCACGGTAATTCGGGGCCCCTCTCTTGCTGTTCCATCATCTTGTCCTTATCTGAATAGCTGAAGCTGTTACTTGCAGTCTGAGTTCCAGCTAGTGGGAAGGGACCCACAGGGCTAATCCCAGACAAACACTTCCTTTGGAGCTAATAAAGGAGAAGTTACACACATCACTTCCACTCACAATCCACTGACAAGAATTTATGCTCATGGCCGTGCCTAGCTGGGAATGGAGGCTTACCGGGGCAGCCTGGGCCAAGAGGTGCCAACTTCAGGAAACAGCCAACACTCTACTGCATTTTTCACGATGAAGCTTTTCTTCACTCATTCTGTTTTCACAAGGCTACCCAGAAATAGCTAAGTTCCTTTTTCGCAGTGTTAAAAGATTAAAAACACCAAATGACCTGAGTTCTATACTTGTAATTCCTGTGTCAAAGTCAAGGCTGTTACAGACTGGAAACATGTCTCTTGATACCAGTGTTGAAAACATTAAATTTCTGCTGCGGCCAAATGGAAGATCCAGAAGTATTTCTTTAGTGATTGTGAACTCAAAACTCCAGGGGAAGTTTCTTTTATAATCATTGCTCAGATGTTAAGTGATAATCACTGAATTCTATTCCTGGAACCAATATTGCACTGGATGTTAACTAGAATTTAAATTTAAAAAAAATTTTTTTAAATCATGGTTCAGGAAGATAGTGATAATGGGGACTTGTCTGATACTTTCGTGCTACCAGTGATATCCACTGTATCACAATACTTTAATAGCTCGTAGCTATTTTATTTTTTAAAGTTTTTTTAAAAGATTTTATTGATTTATTTGAGAGAAAACAGCACAAGAGAGGGGCAGAGGGAGAAGGAGAAGCAGACTCCCCACTGAGCAGGGAGCCCGATGCGGGATTCGATCCCAGGAGCCCCGGGATCATGACCTGTGCTGAAGGCAGACGCTCAACTGACTGAGTCACCCAGGTGCCCCTATTTTTTAAAGTCTTAGTTATTTAAGTAATCTCTGCACCCCGTGTGGGACTCAAACTCATGACCCTGTGATCAAGTCACATGCTCTTCTGACTGAGCCAGCCAGGTGCCCCAGCTGGTAGTATTTTCAAGAAAACAATATTTTGAATACAAATTGGGACTTAAATTATAGACAGTCTAGATTATGTGTGAAGAATAGCACTCAAAATTGTATCTTTTCCGGATCATTTTTTTTTTTTTTTTTATTCATTTGAGAGAGCGAGAATGAGAGAGAGTACATGAGAGGGGGGAGGGTCAGAGGGAGAAGCAGGCTCCTCACCGTGCAGGGAGCCCGATGAGGGACTCGATCCCGGGACTCCAGGATCACGACCTGAGCCGAAGGCAGTCGCTTAACCAACTGAGCCACCCAGGCGCCCCCGGATCATTTTTAACCTTCAGTAAAAACAAAGATCCTCTTGTAAGATAGTTTCAGCTACCAAAAAAAAAAGGTGTTAATAATCATGACTCATTTTCCCGAAATATATATATACATATATATATATCTTTTTTTTTTTTTTAGCTAATTTCTACACCCAGTGTAGGGCTTGAACTCACAACCCCAAGATCAAGAGTTGCACACTCCACCAACTGAGCCAGCCAGGTGCCCCTCCTGAAATAAACATATTTAACTTATATAAGGAAATACATAAATTTCTTCAAATTTTAAATATATAATTGGCCAGATTCCAAGGGATTATATATTTTCCTGGAAAAAAAGGTCAACTGCTTTTGGAAAATTCCTTTATATGATTTTACAGGGGCATCCTCTAAAATGAAGTGTTCAATGAATGTCCAATGAGCAAATTAATGCATTTTAGTAGCTTATATCTTATGTGCTGAGAGTACCTGATTAGGGCACGTAAAACTGAAAATGCACAGATAGGGAATTTTTATATCAAACAAATGTGTAGAGTTTAAGGAAATAATTTATTGTTAATAGATCCCTGCTAATTCATTCGATTTTCTCACATGTACATTCCCTCCGTTCCCTTTCTTTGGGACTCCCTCCCAACCCACTCCCTTGGATTTTCTGACTTACCGCCGGCCTTCTTTCTAGAAGGGTCAGCAGTAGCACTAACAGTTCAGGATATGCTAGGATTTTCCCTGAGATATCTGTGTACTGTTCCTGGGCACCTGGCCAGGAGGATCTCCTTGGAACCAAAAAGTTAATAATGGTCTAGAAAATACACAGTGTCATGGTCTATGAATTTCTAAAATGAACTTTGTGACATCATGCAAAGACAAAGGAGTGGAAAGGAAAGTATTCTGGCTTTGAGTTGGGCAGTCCCCAGTTCAAATCTCAGTTTTTCCTCCTCATTAGTACAGTGGTATCCCTGCCTGTCACATCTCCGTTCTTCCCCTTCCTACCTCCGTGTGTAACCTGGGGCAAAGGACTGAGTGTCCCTGGGCCTCAGCCGCCGGCTCTGTGACACGGGAGTAACGAGGCCTGTAGTGAGAATAAGCATATTCAGCGAGCTGCAGGTGCTCAGGAAAGTAGCTCCTCTCCCACTACCCCCTTGTCCTCCCAGAGCTCAAAGATCTGTAACCTAAGGAATCAAAGGGAAGCCAAACAAGGACTGAAGCTTTACAAGTAAGATCTAAGGAGAACGGGTGAAGGGATGTGTTTAGTGAGGGAAAGAAGAGTGTTTAGTCCAGACAGAGAACAATAAATAACTATGGCCACCCTCTGTAAGCACCCGCTACCTTGCTTGGCATTTAATACAGTTTTACCCGGTCCTCGGGACAGCACTGTGAGGAACGTACGATTTAGTTAGTGAGGAAACTGAGATTTTATAACACCCAAGATCAGTCAGCTGAGTGCAGAAGTGGAGATTCAAACTCAGATCCTCCCACGGGGAAGCCAGCCCTATAAGAAGCAGGAGGGACACAAAGACAATGGCTGTAAGTCACTGGTATCAGGGACAGGCAGGGACCAGAGAAGACAAGCGCAGTCTTTCTTTGTCTCGGACTCCGTTCCTTTTTGTGGGGGCTCTCCTGAAGGCAGGAGGGACTCTACCTTCCCGGAAGGAAAATGGGCTTGTGAGCGCCATGCTGGGAATGGATCTCCGGGGACCACACAGGCTGGCCTGAGCACCGAGTCCCTCCTCACCGAGGGGAATTCAGTGGCTGGCCTACAGTTGAGTCCATCCCTCTATGTTCTTTTTTTTTTTTTTAAGATTTTATTTATTTATTTTAGAGAGAATCTCCAGCAGACTCCCTGCTGAGCATGGAGCATGACATGGGGCTTGATCCCATCACCCCAAGATCATGAATCAAGCTGAAATCGAAGAGTCGGACGCTCAGCTGCCTGAGCCACCCAGGCACCCCTCTGTATTCTACTGCTGTTGCAGACTCTCCTTCACCTCACACTGGTCATCCCTAAGAGTTTATATAAAATGAAATAAAAATATTAAAATGTACAAATTTTTTTAGCCTTCATTTCTGGAAACTCTCCATTTCTTTGTGCACAGAACAGGTCAGACAGCTAGGATTCGGGGCAAGGCCCTGCGGTCGTCAGCCTTTTCAAGCCACCTGGGGTCTAATTTTCATGCCGCCTGAGCACTGGTCTTGGACCCGCCACCTGCACTCTGCTGCTCTTCCGAGTGGAAGCCCAGACTTCTTCACCTTGCTGAGGAGCATGGTGAGCTGGAGCTGAATGTCATGTCTACAACCCATGTCCTCTACAGAGCTGCGCTCCCCTCTCTCGTCTGGGTAACTGTGAGGCCACCTGAACGGTGTCTCTCCCCCTGCGGCTTTTCCTTCTGTGGAGACATAGAATAGGTCAGTCTGATACACTCCACCCGTGTTCCGACTCACAGACAGAGGCCTATCATGTTTCTAAACGGCACCTGGGCTTAAATTGGCTTCTAACCCTGATACACCTTCTGAGTGAACGTAAGCAGAGAATCGCACATCGCCCTCCCCGCGAGATCACCGGGAAACACAAAGCCACACCAAGAAAGGACGGGCCACAGTTTGATATTGTCCAGTGAGTGTCTCCTGGCCTCAGAATACTGCCAGTTCTCGCAGCTCCAGCCCTCGGCTGTGCTCCACTCTGAGCAGGTGAATTCCTCTGCTGAAACTTGCACACAGTAAGGAGACGGTGTCGCCAACAGCCAGGGAAGTCAAAGGTCCTGATCCATCCAGGGACAAGGTGAACAGGCAGGCTGGGGGAGGAAGAGGGAACCAGCAGCTCAGGCCAAGGGCGCAGCGTCATGGGACGCGAGGTCTCTGTGAGAAACCCGTGTAAACAAAGCGTGTGCTCTCCATGTCTAACCCAGGTAAGAGCCGCATCCCTGCTCCAGAGGACCGTGCACCCGCGCGGAGGTCAGACTCAGATCGGCCGCAAGGCTTCAACTCCAGAGAATGGCACATGGACCAAACAAGGTGGGGATCCCTGAGAAACCCGTTCAGACAGTCAGGGCCTCGCCTGCAAGGACGTGTGAATACACTGCCCTCAGTTCCCACCCACCCAGAGAACAGAGCAGGGGGCCAGGGCAGAGGAAAACAGAGGCGATGCTGATCTTCAGCTGCTGGCTTCTGGGGTCTTGCTCCCTTCAAGACCAAGGAGATTGGGACCTGAAGGGGAATCTGGGGGCCTCCAGCTGACCCGGTCTCCCTCCGTCCCCGTCTCGGGGGCTGCTCTTCTGAGAACTATAGGTGCACATCTGGTGGGCAGGGCAGCACTTTCAGACCTTGTTCTCCCTGGTGTCAGGTTTATGAGCATTGAACCTGGCAGCAGCTGCCCCCCCAACCTCCCAGAGCTGTCACACGGGGCAGCTGGTGAGGGCACCTCCAGGTTTGGCTCACCTACCACTAGACGTGATCTCACATCTTTTCTCTGAGGGGGCTATCCTATCCTCCCCTGCTGGGAGCTGAGTTTCTAGAACATTACTGTAGGAGGGACTGGTTGTGAGATTCTCTAAGTTAACACTATTCCTGTGTCTAACAGAACCCCGGGTCCAGCACAAAATAGTCTGGAGGCACTGGGTACTGATAAGGAAGAAAAAAAAACAGCCACCTCTACTCATAGCATATGCCACGCTTTGTGGTGCAAATACTCCCACTATGACCATATTAAATACTCCTGAATATTTAACAATCAGCCAGTAGCAGTGGGCTCTGGCATATTTCACTGAGGACTCTGGGGAGCTGCGTTCCCTAAAACATCTTTTTCTCTGGTGCTTTGAAGTGTTATGACCTGACTGTCATCTCAAATCTTAGCTGCAGCATCAAAACAGGGCAGTCTTGCTCTACCTCACCCCCACCATGAGCTGAGACTCTCATTTTAGTCCTTAAAAAATGAATCTGAAAATGACAATCCTTGTTTTCTTTGCCAGACATTTTGAGTATCACGTGTTAAAACCTGATGGAAGAACTTCAAGTAGAAAGAAAACTAAGAGCCAAATATATTTGAGCTCTCAGGAACAAGTCTGTACAACGTGGTACCAGGGCTCATGCAGTGATGGCTTCCAGCCAGGGGTTCAACAGAATCCTGGTATCTTAGTGTCATCTCTTAACCACCAGGGGCCTGGATAGTGGCAGGACAGGGCTGTTTTTGTATTTGCTGAGCCTCGGAAAGAAAGAGTTTCAAGGAAGCTTTTAAGACTCCATGTGTCTTTGAGAAGCACCACCAGCAGGCTCCTTACCTCCAGTATCTTGGTTCCAAATCTTCACTTTACAGTCATGCGATGAAGTAGCAATTATAGGCATCGAGGCCAGTGCTCTTGGTAGAAAGACGCAGGATGCAACAGTCTGGAAATGCCCCTTATATTCACATATTCTGTTCCGAGTCTGCCTTAGGTCCCACAGCTGCAGAGTAATGACATAGGCTAGCTCATACATACATATTTCTCTAGCTTCATACATGCTACCTTCACTGATCTCCACCTCCCCACCTTCTCATCACCCACCTATCCCCCTACTTACCTACTCATGTAGCTACCCCTCATCTTCATCCATCCCATCCACATATGAAATCATCCATCCATCCAGTGATTATTTTAAACATCACCGATCTCAGACAACCATGGGTAAGGATGTGCCAGGAGGGTCCCTGCCTTCCTCATTAATGTCATGGTTAGGGAAGTGAAAGCTCCAAGTCCTACAGCATGATGGGACAGTATGGGGTTGCCTACTTTTTTTTTTTTAAGTTCTTTTATTTATTTAAGTAATGTCTACACCCCATGTGGGGCTCAAACTCACGACCCCAAGATCGAGAGTCTCGTGCTCTTCTGACTGAGCCAGCCAGGTGCCCCAGGGTTGCCTACTTTCTACGACAGTTCAAGAGCTACCTGACATCAGCCTCTTGGTGTCTGTGGCTTCTGTGGAGACCCCACAGTTAGGGGCACCTTCTCATAAGTACACAGAGGTGCAGACCTTCTGATTTATTGCCTGCATGCTGAACCTTGGAATATGAAGATGAGACTCTCCAACAAAGGAGGTGGCAGTCCTGCCAATCCCACTCTTGTTGACACGATCAGACCATAGCTAGAGAACAAGGTTCAGGGAGGAGAGCAAACCAAATTGTGTTCAAAAAATAATGAAGTCATTGGACACCATGTAATTCAAGAAAACGACATTCAGAGAGGACAGTGATCTGAATTGTGTCCGAAAAATAATGAAATCACAGGACACCATATCAGTTGTAGGGGCTGGAAATGCTTAGCTTGGTGAAGAGATGCTACATCAATAGCCTGGGATTCAATACCTCAAAGTACCACTTACTAGAAGTGTGGTCTTGTGCAAGAGATTTCAACTTGCCATGCCTCTATTTGCTCATGTGTAAAATGGGAATTATAATAGAACCTAACTCATGAGGTTGTTGTAAGGATTAAATGAGATAATGCATGTAATGTGCTCAGGCCAGTGCCTAGTATATGATGTTCGGTACAATGGGAGCTCTAATTGTTCTATTTGGACTAGATGCCCCTTTTAACCTATATTCTACAATGAGGAATCCAAGGTACTTTGGAGGAGCCAATGCAATCTAATCCAAAATGACTTGCGAGGAAAGGTATATGGGTAAGGGTTGGGATGGGCCGTTGACCAACACTGGTGCCTCAAACTCCCTGAAGAGCTTGAGCCTCCTTCACTGTGACCACAGGTACAGTGGGAATACACTTGGCTCTTCAAATAGTCCCTCCCCTTTCTAAGCTCTGCTGGGAGCAGGGACATTAGCAAGCTGGTTCTGTGTTTAGCACCTTCCTATCTTGACTCTCATCCCGTCCCTTTGTCTACTACCAATTCAGAGAGCCCAAGGCTAATGGAGGTTTCTTGAGAGATGCATCTGGAATGCAAAGGCTCACTTACAGTATGCACTTGGAATAGGCCTGAGCCATTAATAGAGCTGACCTGTGTAGCCCAGTACAGACGGGAGGTCGGAGGAAGTACTTTGCTCATCAGCAACCAGACCCCCAGACCCCCAGAATCTCTTACCGTGGCTTCGCAGCCTTCCCCTCCAAAGCCGCTGCTGCAGGAGATACACTTGTGTCCGTCCTCACTGACCTCGCAGTAGGTCTGAATATGCTGCTTTGTGGGAAATATATGAGCTACCTGCAGCCCCCGGCTGTCCCATAATCTGCAAGAAATGACCGCAGGATATGAATCTGTTGGCTCTTTGCTGCTTCAGCCAGTCTGATGGAATGTCATGATTTACGTACAATCAGGAGTATGAACCAGATCAACCTTGGAGACCCCAAAGCTGCCAGGAAATAACCAAACTGAATGACATCTGAGTCCTTTCTAGTTTGAGATACAGTTAATAGGAATTTAGACCAAGCATCTTAACTGTATAAGTTAATTTGTTAATTTGGCCCTTTGGGATACTACTTTCAAGGGACAAGAGGATATTTCTGTGCCTGTGACTTAATTTTTTTAAAAGATAGTTATTATGATCCAGAGGAGCAGTCACCATTCCAGAATCAGATAGAATAGACTGCAGGCCTTGGCCTACTGGGCCACGAGGTCCCCGGGGGAGTGTTTTATTCGGCCTCTCATCTCATTTTCACCTCTTTACCTCATTCTTCCTATTTTCTAAGTAGAATGAATCTCTTATGAGATCCAGACTTTCTCGTTGTGCTTTCTACTCAAGAACGATTTACTTCATTTGACTCTCTTGATGCAGATTCTGACCCCATTTCCCCAGACAAGGCTTCACCTGAGGCCTGAGTGATTGAGAACATCCGGCGCCAAGCAGGGGTGGCAAGTGGAGCCAGGCAGCTCAAAGCAGGGGGACAAGCAAATGACCAGGTCCGAGGTCAATCTGAATATTTTCACACAGGGGGCGAGGGTGGGGCCAGACAGAGTCAGCTGCTTCAGAACCATCCAGGACAGGCGCTTTTTCCTGGCCCCACCTCCTGCCATTCAACCTCTACCCAGATGGTCCAGGGGGCCAGGTCAGAGAGACCCCAGCCCCAGCAAGGGGCAAAGGGGCAGAAGGCCCTGGGCAGGCACAGCAGTGTGGAGAAGCAGAGGGGGAAAGGAGTCATATGAGCATGGGAACCACAAACCTTCACCAGAAACACCTTCACAGCTGCTCAGTAAGCCCACCTGATGGTTTTATCTTCAGAAGTCTGTAGTACATATGGTTGGTGGGGTACCCAGCGCAGGTGAGTGACCTGGAAAAAGCAAAATTTTCAAAACTTCTCACTGCCAAGGCATTCTTCTACGGCAATTCCTGTAAACTGTGTTAAATAGCATCTCCTCACCACTTCTCAAGGATGCTGACGCGTACGTTTGACTTGCAGGGAGTGTGTGTTCTGCAGATACCCACCAGTCATGCCCACCAGTCATGCCCACCGGCGTGCCCTGGATCAGCAGCAGCAATGGTAGCAGCTGGACCAGTCGTAAGTACAGAATGCATGCAGGCACGCACACACGTGGTGGGGAACTGCTGGTGGGTGGCAGCTAAGGAGAGCAGCCCCCCGTTCTATATGGGACCCACTGAAACCCTAGTCTAAGGCCTCACAGGGTTCAGGGCATGTTCTTTCTTCTCATCCCTGTAGCCCCCTCCTGGATAGGCACAAAAGAGTTTTCAAAACAACCCAAGATGACAGGATTTTCTTCTCGCAACCTCCACAAATATGGAGGGCATAGGGTGAGTATACCTTGCCATGGACAGTTGTCTTCAAAATTGGAAAAGATGACCATGAGTGATATTTAATGATCACTAAAGGAACATCTATCATGTCAGGTCATAGGATTCTCTCCATTTCACAAATGAAGACATTGACACTCTAAGTGACTTTCTTGGAGTAACACAGCTAAAATGTGATGGATCTTGGGGCGCCTGGCTGGTTCAGTTGGTAGAGCGTGTGACTCTTGATCTCAGGGTTGTGAGTTCAAGCCCCATGTTGGGTGTAGAGATTACTTAAAAAAAAAAAAAAAAGGTGATGGATCCATAATTTGAACCCAGGTATGACTGACCTCAAAGGCTGTGGAGTTTATATACCAGTCTGCTGGTATATAACATTGGTCTTCATAAACACAGCAAATTATACATAAAGCAAAGGGTCATGCTTGTTTCTCTGTGCATAAGCTGTGAGATCCTGGAGGACAGGGGCTGTGTCCTAGGCCACTAACCCTGCTCCTAGCAGAGCAGATATGGAATAACACATTTTGAGGGAATAAATGAGAACACCACTTAAAATTCCAATAGGAACTAGTGGAGGTGTTCTCTGGAGCAGAAGACTTTATTTATCTTTTATTTGTTTTAAAGGTTTTATTTATTTATTTGTCAGAGAGATAGAGAAAGCAAGCACAAGTAGGGGGAGTGGCAGGCTTCCCGCGGAGCAAGGAGCCCGATGTGGGGCTCAATCCCAGGAAGCTGGGATCATGACCTGAGCTGAAGGCAGATGCTTAACCGACTGAGCCACCCAGGCATCCCTGGAACAGAAGACTTTAAAGAGATCATCCAGCCTGATAACCCTGAGAGGCCAGGGTCTGACAGAGAGTTCAGGGTGAGTAGTAATGAGGCCCCAACCTCTACTGCCTGGTGTATCTCCTGATCTCTCTCCCAGGCTCTTCGCCTCACCCCATGCTCCCTTCTGCTGTCCCACTCTCTACCAACTTTGAGTCCCTACCAGGTTCCTCGAGATGGAAGCTCTCTCCGCACACCGTCCGGTCCCAACGTCCCACAGAAGCAGGGTGTTGTCCCGAGAGCCAGTGCACAGCTGTGACGAGTCTGGGGGAGCAAGGGAGAAATGGTCCATGAAATGGGCCTGGCACGGGGCTTTTCAGAAGGTACAACAGGGAGCGCCCAGGTGGCTCAGTCGGTTGAGCATCCGACTCTTGGTTTCAGCTCAGGTCATGAGCTCAGGGTCATGAGATCGAGCCCCAAGTCGGGCTCCATGCTCAGTGGGACTCCGCTTCTCTCCCTCTCCCACTGCCCTTCCCTCCACCCCTGCTCACGCACACTCTTTCTAAAAATAAATAAATAAATCTTGGAAAAAAAAGAGGGGCGACTGGGTGGCTCAGTTGGTTAAGCATCTGCCTTCGGCTCAGGTTATGATCCCAGGGTCCTGGGATCGAGCCCCGCGTCAGGCTCCCTGCTCCACAGGAGTCTGCTTCTCCCTCTGTCTCTCCCCTTGCTTGTGCTCTCTCCCTCTAATAAATAAATAACTTTAAAAAAAAGAGAGAGAAAGAAAGTACAACGGTGTTGGGGAGAGGTCTGTTTGACTTTACCTGGACTCACAGCCAATCCAGTGACCACCATGGCGTGGCCAGAGAACTGCTGCCTTGGCTGGGAAGGGCCACGCAAGTCCCACATTGTGACTGTCCTGTCACGAGAGCCGCTGAAGAACTGGCTGGATCTGGGAATACAGGCTATCTGCTCAAGAGAAAAAAAGTCCCAGTGTGCTTGTTTGATTGGCCTTGGAAATGGGCAACAGGCCTGGGGCTGCAGGTGTCAGAGCCCAAGGCTCTCCCCCCGTCCCTGTCGGGGTGGGAATACATTGCATCTGGGTGTCAGTACCCTACTCTGCGCTGCGAGCTGAGCAGATGATGGAGTCTGCATCTCAATTCCGATTTTCAGTTCATTGAGGGGGATTTCAGGGAAGGGCATTGTAGAGACTGGCATTCTCTATCATCTTTGCTGGAAGCTTATGCTGGCCTGTAATGCTTTATTAGAAAATTAATTTTTATTTAACTGTTCTTGGCTTTTTAAAAATTTCCCCAACTAGAAGTTTCCTGAGTATAGAGATTTTATCATTAATTTATTTAAAATTATCATTATATTATTATATATTATATGATAAATTATTATTATATATAATAAATTATTTATACATAAGTTATAAATGAATAAATTTTATCATGTATTATTTATTATTTATTTTTCTAGCTACAGTAAACACACAGGCAACCTTCAGTACCTGTCCCTGTTGAGTTAGGATAGGCAGGGAGAATTCTCTATTTACCACCTGAGCTATTAAGGGCTTAGTGACAAACTAAATCATGTCTAATATGCTTGTAACCATAGCTAAGGGAATGGTTTGCTCTGCTTTTCCTCGAGTAGGGCTTCACGACATCAAATGAAGCTCTTACATTTTCTTAAGACTGAATATCCCATCCCTCTTACTAACTAGAGCTATTAGATACTCCTTTATTCAGTTCCAAATTCCCTCCACGATAATGATCATTTGATAATTACCTTAGTGATCTCTCGTTCATGTCCTCTGAACCTTTTCACCACATTTCCACTTTTCCAGTTATAGGCCACCACTGTCTGCAGAGAGTCATTAGGGTCATTAGAATCTCTGTAATATTTTATGTGAATTTCTATTTAACTGAAGCAAGCCTTTACTTCATTATCTACCTAATTTCTCCCTCTCTGTTAAGGGTCTTGTATTAGGGCTTTATTGTTATAACCTTCATCCTGTCCCCCTACATTGACTTCCTTTTCTTTCCTCCTGACCGGGGCGCTATCTCTCTGCAAGGCAATGGGCCACTGCTCTGGGCCTTACCGACGGGTTCGGGAGGACACCCCACAAGAGGAACGGACTCAACCTGAGGTTCTGGTCATAGATGCTGAAGTAGAATTCTACATGGGGTTAGAGTTTTTTCCCCTAATTGTTTTGTACTTTTATTTTAGTGTATTTAAAAAAATTTGCTATCTTAAAAAAAAAAAATTTACCGGGTGCCTGGGTGGCACAGTCGGTTGAGCATCCCACTCTTGGTTTCGGCTCAGGTCATGATCTCTTGGCTCATGGGATCGAGCCCCACGATGGGCTCTGCGCTCAGCAGGGAATCTGCTTCTCCCTCTGCCTCTCCTCTTCCCTCCCCCACCCCACTCTCTCTCTCTCAAATAAATTAAATCTTAAAAAAAAAAAAGAATCTGTGAAATACAGTATGAAAATGAGAGGAATTAAAAGAATCTACATTTTTGCTGTCAATGTCTTAGCTGTGAGTCCCGTGATAGATGCAAATATGGGGGGAGAAGCAACCAGATTCAGTGACAGTGGGGGAAAGGACAGAAACAGAAGGGAGGAATCATAATGCTCACCAGTGTAGAGATTTTGACAAAAGAGCAGCATAAAAGAGACTGGAAGTCTCCTTTTTTAAAAAATATTTATTTATTTATTAGAGAGGGAGAAAAACAGAGAGAGCGAGCACACAAGCAGGGGTGGGGGCAAAAGGAGAGGGGGAGAGAATCTCAAGCAGGCTCCAGCTCCCCACTGAGCGTGAAGCCTGATGGCAGGGCTCGATCTTACGACCTTGAGATCATGAACTGAGCCGAAATCAACAGTTGGCTGTTTAACCGACTGAGCCACCCAGGGAACCTCAAGGAAGTCTCCTTTTGATGACAAATAGCTCCTGTGTCAGTGTGTGGGTATGAAAATGGCTTGGTCGGGGCGCCTGGGTGGCTCAGTCGTTAAGCGTCTGCCTTCGGCTCAGGGCATGATCCCAGGGTCCTGGGATCGAGCCCCACGTTGGGCTCTCTGCTCAGCGGGAAGCCTGCTTCTCCCTCTCCCACTCCCCCTGCTTCTGTTCCCTCTCTCGCTGTGTCTCTCTCTGTCAAATAAATAAAATCTTTAAAAAAAAAAAAAAGAAAAAGAAAATGGCTTGGTCAGAATAATACTTGCCATTTATAAAAAGCATATGGGCGATCTGGCACATCACTGAAGATCTTGCCACCTAATCCTCACAACTGTCCTGTGTCCTGTGAGGCTGGCATTATCACCCTCATTCCATGGATGTGGAGACTGAAGCTCACGAACAGTAAATGACCTCCCCAGAGGAACCGGAAGGGGAAGAGCGGGGACTTAAAGCCAGTCTTCCTTAGTCTAAAGCCTATATGGTTTTATACTACTCAACATTGTTGCCAGAAACGCAGAACCAACGCTTCCTTCCCAAATCTCTTCCCTTCTCCACAATAAGCTGGTTCCCTGGGAAGCGCCACAAACCCACCTTATCTTTTCCTCCAGAGACACACAGGTCTGAGTTCAGAGCAGCAACGACAGAGACACTATCCACGTGAGCTGGGCTATACTCCAGACAAGATTTAGTTTGAGTTCTCTCTTCTATAATCCCGTCGGGCCTGCTAAAGACAGGATGGCAAATGAGAGGCCCTCTGTTACGGAGTGTGCAGCACGGCATGGGGAAGGCGTGGGCTACGGGAGAGGCCAGGCTGAGGAAAAATTCTGGGAAAGGAGTACAGAAGGAGACCCACGGTCATTGCCAGAAATGGGATTATTAATGCTGAGCATGCTCAGAACAACTGAAGGACTAGAATCCGATAAAGAGGAATCCTGAAGCCAAGAAGCCAGGAGTCTTTGCTCACCTAGAGCTTATTCCCAAAGATGCCAGGCCTGTCTCTGAGTGGCTGCAGACACTAGCTAATCAGCTGCTTCTCATCCAAAAGAAAACAGACCAAACTAACTGTTCAGGGAAGGTCATCAGCAATCGCTCTGGGCCTTCTCTTTCTTTAGGAGAGAATTTTAATGCAACATGATAAAACTTGGGATCCCAATGTAGTATTGCTGTACCTGTATTTATAAGTGCTGTGTTTGAGCTTGCTTTGCAGCTTCCCCATCCCTGCACAGAACCGCCCCAAAACCTTGTGAGAAGGAGCTCGTTTCAGATGGCCGCTGAGCCAGCAGCATCCCTTGTGGCTGCTGGACGTTGTCCTCCCTGCTTGGTGGAAAGAATGCATACTGTTAATGTTGTTAGGCATGATGATGGTAGTCTGGTGATGTAAAAACAAAGCCTATTTTATTTATTTATTTGACAGAAAGCGAGAACGCACAAGCAGGGGGAGTGGCAGAGGGAGAGGAACAAGCAGACTCCCGCTGAGCAGGGAGCCCAGTGTGGGACTCGATCCCAGGACCCTGGGATCATGACCTGAGCCGAAGGCAGGTGCTCAACCAACTGAGCCACCCAGGCGCCCAAGCCTTCTTTTTTTAAAGACTAATTCATTGCTCTCATTTGCTTTTCTTCTTTCCCTTGCCTCTTCTTACGGTCCTGGGAATGCACCCTCCCATAAAGCATTAGCAGATCAGCAAAAACAGAAACAAAATTAATTTTAAAAATACAAAGAGGTTTCTTGGGGCACCAAGGGTTGGAATGATGGGGGAACAGGGAGTGGCTACTTTAATAGGTACAGAGTTTCCTTTTTGGATAACAAGACAGTGGTGATGGTTCCATAACATTGTCTATGTACTAAATAAGAATAAATTTTATGTTATACATATTCTACCATAATAAATACTAGGAACGTGTATTTGAAACTAAGAAATAGTTTTTACCAGTGAAGCTTCTTGAAAAGAGCCTTAGTTATTCTATTTTTTTTTTTT